CAGGGAGACAGCTGTGGCTCCCTGATTATCACAGGGATGCTTTTGGCTGGAACGGGAGCAGCAGCTCCCATCAGAAAGTGTAACAGAGTTTACACTAACAAAAGATTTGGCATCCTTGGGCACAGCTCCGTTATCTCCCCTTTTCTTTCTTCCTTTTCTCTAATTTTAGAGAACAACTAGTTTTTTATTTGCAGCTTTCTTCGCATTCATTGGTGTCCAGCTTTGATCTACAACCAGCTTGAGTTTACTTTTATGCTCTGCTGAATGCTGCCTTCAGCCTCAATTTCAGAGCTGTGCAAATAAATTATAGTGAAGTGTTTAATTAAAGTTCGCCTCATGTCCTGATTGCAGAATGCTGCCTTCTCAGATGCAATTTGCAAATATATTTTGGAGTTTTATTTTAGACAGGATGACTAGTTGAAGGTTGTTTAATTGTGATTGATTGTGCATTGGATGTTTCTGCTGCCTTTATTTTGTGGGGAAAAAAAAAAAAAAAGAAAAGAGTAGCTGAGTGTTGAAGGACAAATGAAGGGCATTGACCTGGATGAAAGAAGCCCAAACAGTTGCAGAACTGAGGGTTGATACTTCTAGAATTACATATTTAATATTTAGTTTTCTTCAATACTTGGAGGTTTTTTAGGTCATCCATTTTTGAAACCTTGTGGTGGGTAGGTCAGCACTGTCAGAAATACGATTTTGGCTGTGCTACTGTTGATCAGTGGTTTCCTACCTGCAGCTTCCACAGTCCTGACCTCCTAAACAGTTTGTGCAGAAGCTGTTCATTAATATGAGTCAACAGATTGGTATTGGGTAAAAATATATTCATAATTCGAACTGTGGCTCTAACAACAGGTAGAATTAAGAGGGAGAAGATTTTTCACCACAGACATTCCTGTGTGCTACTCCTGTTGGGTTTTTTTCTGCAAAGTTTACACCTTTCAGATTTCTTTGGCATTGATCATTACTAACCTTAATGAGTTCTCTTAAGAAATAATAATAACAGTATTTACTTAGGTGTGGTGCTACCCCAAGCTCCCCAGTTTAAGAGCTGCTTTCTTGTCTGCTCTCACTCCATCTACGTTTTGGTGCTTGTGCAAAGCATCCCTTCCTGGATGTAGTGGCTTTGAGTTGTGTGGGGGTTAATTTTGTTTAGTTGTCTTTCTTTTGGGTTCTTCTCTTAACTGTTCCCTGCCTTGTGTGCCCCCAGGAAATCAGTCACAATCCGCCTCTGTGCCACTGTGTTGGATACAGATGCATAATGCTGTTATTAAATCCCTTTCCTCAGTCAAGAGGATTGATAACAGTGTGATAAGACAAACATATTTCTGTTACTATTTTTGATCTATTTAACTTAATTTTTTTTAAACTGCCTCAGCATTTACAAAGAAAGCAAAGTTTAGGAAATAGTATCCAGTGTCTCCAAGACCCCAGCTGCCACCTGCTTCATACAGTTATTCATGCTTTTCCTTTTCAAAACCTATTTTACTCTTTGTTCTCTGTGACTGTTTTATTCTGTTTCATTTTGGAACTAAGTAGAAGAAATTAGGAGAAAATCCATACCTGCCTTGACTGTGGCATTTTCAGAGTGTTCTTCTTTTCTCTTTTGGGGGGATTTTATTAAAATTTTTTAAGATAGAATGTTTACGACTCATTGAGCATCATCTTGGGACTTAGAAACTAATAATAAGTCTAACATAAAACAATTACTTTTCCTAAAAATGTTTGTTTTATTACCTACCCCTACTTCATTTCATGCATGGGGGAATACTTCTGAACTCCATAATGCACATCACAATTTGTTCCTAAATAGTCATATCTTTCAAACAGATTAGCATGAAACAATTTGAGGAGTAAGTACCTAATTCAGATGGATAAAACAATTAATTCTTCACCACTTTCCCAGTTTTAGGGTAAGAGGATTTACTGTTGCATACCTAAACCAAGTAGACAAGTGCTCTTTTTCGGCACCTGTTAAAAGGATGAGTTCTCTTTTGTTTTTGAACAGAATTTCCTACCACAGGAAAGCAGTTTATCAAATATGGGTAGTTGAGGGCAGGATGTTTTGCTTTTTAAAAGCTGATGTGTGTGTAAAATGAGGATTATGTCATATTGTAAGCACTTCTTAAAAAAAAAATTAATTTTTATTAATTTTTAAAGGTATTAGGAATGTTGTGACTGAAACAGGCCTTCATGCAACATAAATGGTCTGTCAGTTACTGAGTAGAATATTGAAAAGGTGTGAGTCTTGGGATTCAATACAATTGTTCACCATTATTTTGAAGACTTATTTTTTCACTATTTTATTTTATGTTAGAAGTAAAGTGTCCAGTGAGTTGAGTCCCAGTCTATTAAACAAAGCCAAAACTGACTACTCTGAGCTAGTGTTGCTGTACTGTATTTGATGAGCTGTTGTTATTAAGCAGTGCAAACTATTTTGCTTTCTATTAATAATTTTACTAAAGTATTCCAGCGTGGAAGAAGGGAAGGGGCAGGGGTAATTTTAAAAACTCTTTTCCAAATTTAATGCATACCTCCTAGTTTCTGGGTTATATTGCCAAAATGTTATGGCCTTGTTCTAAACTCTTCCAGTAGTTTACTGACTTCACTCGTTGGGATGAGCCATGTGTAGTTTTACTACAGAGAATATTTTATTCCTTTTTTTGGGAAAGGAAGTGGAAACTTCCAGCTGCTGGCTACACGTGGTGTTGCCAGAGTGGGATAACCTACTTTGGTAGACATGTGCAGTTTTTACCCACGGTTTCCCAAAAGTTAAAATTAAAAGTGAAAGATTTGTGATGAGAAGAGAGTTACTTCAGACTCACAATGAAACAGAAGTGTGCAAGTACCCCTAAAGTTGGACAGTTACAGGATGTTTAAGTCATGCTTGTTTTCAGGCAAATGCAGAAGACTTCTTGTATACTGAGCTTTGACATATCTGTCCTTCTTGTGGAAGATGTGTGATAAAAGCACACGTAACTCTGCTATATTATCCCCAGCTGTTCATTCATTATTTAATGACTTCTTCCGTGTGCTCTCAATGTATGAATGTATTTAATAGCTTTGGCATTGGGGCTTGCTTTTAACATTTGGAGCAGAGAACATGGTTGGCAGAGTGTTTGGGGCAGCAGGGAGTCGAGTTTGGTTCTCACATAATTAAAAAATGAGCTGTGCTTTTGCAGGGCCTCTTATTCTGCCTCTCTCTTGTTGATCTCATGTGTTGCCTGGGACAGACCAGTGAGCAGCTCTTGAAGATGCAGTTTACATCCATAAATTAACTAAGAACATCCGAGGGCAGTTGCTAAATGCATTAATAAGTGTGCACACATGTAGTTTTGTTGTTTACAGAGCAGGGGATAGCACCCTGGAGAAGCAGCTAGTGATGTGCAGAGGAGCAGCACGTGAATGTAGATGGGCAGGGATCTCATTAATGTGACCATACAGGAAAAATATATATTGTATTTCAGTCTGTAGTCACCAGTTGAATTTTCTTGTTAAATAATTTTCAAGTTCTTTAGATATCAAAACCCCCATATATTTTAGAAGAAACAGTATGAAGTGGAAGCTTTTTCTGTTCTTAAATTTCAGTATTTGGTGTTAAGTCTGATATTTGCTGTTCAAAAGTGTCTTATAACTTGGGCTGACCTTTCCAAATACTTGGTTTATAACAGGACTGATGACTTGGAAGCTTGTTATCTTAAAAATTTAGAAGAATACATTTAATAAGACAGGAACCTTGGCAAAATTTCTGTACGGTTTCAGCTTAAATGTTGAGGTGCAAACACAGACAAAACATTCAGATGCAGTTTTATAAGGATAAATACTCTCCTAAAATACCCATGTTCAGGAATCTAGTAAAATTTCACACATCCTACGTATCCAGAACAACTGTTGATAGAATTTAAACAGTTTGTGTAGAGATACCCAAAATCAGAGCTGTTGCCTCTGCCAATGAATCCATACTTAAGTTACAAAACTCTACTGAAAGCTAAACTTTTCCATCTCATACCTCTCCTCTTATTTTAATTTTTAAAAACTTATGTGATATCCTCGTGTCTTCTTGTACTTGTGTTTTATGTGAACACTGTGGAGGGATTTAGAGGTTCCAGAATGTCCTCAACAGTGTCCTGAGAGCTTCTTAACACTCTAAAATAGTAATGTACAAGACTGATTATCCTCCTACATTGTCTTCACCAAAATTTATTGCTATAAGTGTATGTGAGAAAAATGCCCTTGGTTGTTCTTGAATTACATGTATTTTAAAAAGTCCTTGAAAGCACGTCTTGAAATATTTTTCCATCACTGCTACTGCTTGACATTTAATAATAACTTAGAACATTATTATATTTTCTTGCAGTGTCCTAACTGAAGAGCTGAAGATCTCCATGCTTTAAACAATTCCAGTTGGAAGTAACTCTAAAGAACTTGAAAATATGTGTTAATACAAAAGTTTACACTTTTAGTATTGTTATCTGAGTAATGCTTGGATAACTGATGGATTATAAGAAAATACTTCAATAGTTGAGGAAGGCTGCTTGGGAATCATAGGAGACCACACAAAATTGTGTATGTTTGGTGGAGTTTGTGTTATCTGTGTATTTTCATCAGTGACCAACAAAATCACTCATTTCCTGAAATGCTTTACAAGACTGATTCCAAGAAAATAAACAGAAGTGACTTACACTATTTTAAATAGATTCGTATAGCTAATGAGGGCAAACACTCACCAGAATCAGCATTACTTATAACCACTAGAGGAAAAAAAAGAAGGGATTCTATCACAGCTGATGGACTGTGAGTGAAAGCCACGTAAAATTATCTGTCAGACTGCACTCCCAAGTTCTTTGCTATTACAGGTATTGCTGATGAGAAGTCAGGGTAGGGCAGTTGCAGGACTCTGCTCCTGTGCTTGTACTTAAGCAAACAACTTTGTTTCTGTGCAAGGAACACCCTCAGCGATGTGTGGTTGTAGGTACGGACTGAACTTCGTCTTCTCTTTGCAGGCAGAGCTTGTTGATGTGCAGTACGGGACCACGCAAGACCTGATCCGGATTCAAGCCATTACAAACGTGACCAAAAAAATTGCACTTTTGAAGCTAGGACAATCACCTTTGCTTTATAAGGTTAGTCAGAACCTAATTACATATTAGCTGAATTACTCATTTGTTTGGGACTTTTTTTTTTTTTTTTTTTTTTTTTTTTTTTTTTTTTTTTTTTTTTTTCCTTTTTTTTTTTTTTTATTTTGAAAATACTGAAACAAAGACTTTCCCATTCTATCCCAGTAACTCAGGACTTACTGGCATTCACATTCTTCCTTAATACTTATCACTTCACTCTGCAGTGCCTTTTATATGTTACAGTTATTTATTTTGCTGCATATCTTGCCGTGCCTCAGTAGCCTGCCACATTTTTCCTGGGTGTTCTGTAAGCCTTTTGGCAAATAAAGAAATCCCTGAATGAAATAACAAAGCACGAGGGAACAAAAAATTGGCAGCTGATATCAGGAATAGCTGGATCTGTGTCTCCTAAAAACGTGCATAGAACAGTGTACTGAAATCTTTTATTTCTGCATAATTGTAGTACTTGCTTTGGTGGCTATAGTTTGAGCATACTGTGGGAGGAGGCAGAGCACAGTCTGTCCTCACCTGAGCTCAGGCTTCTGTGAGTCTTTCCAGCCCTGCTGGGCTGTGTCCAACACCCAGCACTTGGATTGCGAGGTAATCACCAATAGCATACACTGTGGGAGGACTGGCACTGGTGTTTATTGTAACTTTCTTTCACTGTGGCATTATGCAGCCTTGCTGTGTGGAGAATTTGCCTTTGCCAGCATATTCTTCTTTCCACTCCCTCCTTTCCCCTTCTTTGGTTGAGATTATGTGTGGGGAGGGCTGCACATGGGTATATCTTCTCCTCCAACTCCAGTGCTGGCAGAGAGCACAGAGCAGGAGCTCACTAATCCATTTGCACATTAAACATAATAGACTCAACGTATAAACCACATTCAAACTCTAAATGCCCAGTGACTGCCTTCTGTGGCAAATATTTTATAGGCAAAAATGCTGGTTTCACTTTCAGAAAATACAGTGGACCGATAAATACTTAAACAATTCATTCCCAAATTAACAAATGCAGTTATGAAAGAGCAGTGATTCCAGATCTTGCAATTAAGAGAATCAGAATCTGCCCTGTTGGCCACAGAAAGTACAGTTGGCACTACAACACAGGTTCAGAAAACAACTGCTTACTATTTTTTCTATAGGAATAAGATTTGTCTCAATAAAAATGCCATTTTCAACTGAGCAGCTTTAGCTGTTTATTTAAATTATTTAGGTGCAATTTAATTATGCCCGTGAAAGGTCAGTTGTCGTTGCTGGAACTCGGCTGTTGCGCATCGTTTGCACCAATAGATCTGATCCTGCATTTCACTGCTGACAAAAACAGTGAAATAGCAATCAGGGCTCATAAAGTAGGAATTTGATAAAGATGTCAAGTTTGCTGTAACAGCACTCTCTCTGAAATGGGTTTTTTTACCAGTTTGTGTTCCTGTGAGGACGCACAGTGTCTGAATTAGGAAACTGTACAGCCTGAAAGGAGGAGGGGAAAGCAAGTGGTACTGAGAACAAGGCACATCTCAGGAGCTTTTTTCTGTGGGTTGGCTGTAGCCTGGTTCCCAAATATACGCTATTTGCTGGCTGAGGTGCATCAGCTACATTTCTGGTGCTCATCTGCTGCTCCAGAAGAATCCATTTTGCACGTCCAGGGTGTGTTATAAAGTGTGAACCAAAGTGTGGTGTGGTCAGGAGGCTGACTTCGAATGCACACTCAGGATCTGAGCTAAAAATACGCTCCCCAAACCTACTTTCTGTGTTCTCCTCATGCAGGTAGGAAGTTTGCCCCCCCCACCCTTTTTTTTTTTTAATGCTTTTTTTTTAATACCCTTTTTTAGAATATAAATTGTCTGTCTTTGGCAGTGAAATAATTGTAAGCTTTACTTTGCTCATAAGGGAAGATGTAGAAAGATTATCAGAAACATATTCCCCTTTCATCAGGAATATTTGGAGTGAAAGATTGCCTTAAACAGCAAGTCCTGCTGGTTTAAACAGGCCCAGTATCTCACCACTAAATCCTCTTGTATCTTTTTTCCCCCTAATATTTATGTTTCTGCACTTATTGAGTCTCACATTTCTGTTTCAGCAGATACTTTCCTCTCCCTATATTTTCCTTATCTCTGTCTTCCATGTGCTTGGTTTTACATCACATTAACACAGAACACTAGTTCATAAGAGAGCTGTGGCTATATATACGTTTATATTTACTGCTTTTCTTTCTAATTTCTGTATTTAACTTGTATTTTTCATGTTTTAATGTTCTTTAATTTCTCATTATTGCTACTTCATAATACACAAATATCTCGCTCTGGATTTGGGTTTTATTTTTATAGACCCTGCACCAAGGTTTAATCTTCATAACAGAGTTTCTAATCATGTCTCTATTTTTCAGCTTGCATTTTCCCTTGCGTGGGTATACTTATTCTCTCTTTTTCTCTCTCTCTTTTTACTGCCATCAACAACTGCTGTTCTTTATGTGTTTTTTTCTATTTCCCCCTTTTGTGCATTTAATTTACCTTTTTTTCTTTTTTTTTTTTAATCTTGACTACTGTTTGTTCTCTCCATACTGAGTCCATTGAAAAAGGCCTGAAAGAAATAATAAACTGTTGCTGGCAGAAAAATCACCATGAAAACTGAACAACATTTCTTTAGTCTTTATATCACATTAACAGAAAGGATATACTGGTAGAAAAGAGCTTCATGTGCAAGGGGATAATTTATAGACATAAGCCCAAGCGATGGAAACTTGAATATTTGGGAAAATAATGGTATTAATGACAATGTTTTTACCGTAGAGGTTTAGTATGTGGAGATTGGATAGGGTACAAAATTTGAGGAAGGATTAAGATTGATAATAATTTGGAGCTTCTACTTTGTCTTTCAGACTGAGCCCATCTTGGGCTATTATACTGGAATATACAGGGAATTTGGAGTGTGCAGAAAAGCCTGAATTTAATGTGGTGTCAGAATATGCAGTTTAGTCTTTAACTGAGTAATTCTGTTTAAGTTTCGTAAGGCTCATAAATTTAAGCGGCTTTGTGAGAACAGGTTTTTTAGAACTCTGACCTGGGGTAATTTTTGTAATTGGTTATGATTTTCAGATTTCGTTGGGAGTGTTGTATTTCTGTTCCACTGAAACAGAACTTACTGTCTGGTCAGGGCAAGAGGGGCAGCAGTGATGGCCATGGGTACACGGGCAGAGGACTGGCAGAGCCAATCTTAATCCTTTAAACCTTAAATCTTTTCAAACAAACAATATGTTACTACAGCCACATCATAAGTTACAGCTATAATGAGAAATAACATGGACCCTACCTTGATATCAGAGTATCAACAAGAGCATTGACTCTAGTGGGGGGAGAAAGGAACCCCCAAAAAAACCCCCAACAAACCAAATAGTTTACATTGTGGTGATAAAAAGAATAGATAAAAAAGGGATACGTATTTATCTATATAAATCAGAGTGGAGCAGAGGTTTGGGAGAGGAGTTTTACCGTTGTTCGGGCAACCACTAAGATCAGTTTTGGAGCAAGATTCTTTTATAAAATTAATATAAAATGTGGAAGAAAATAATGGTAGAAATGCTTCAAGGGCCGGAGCAGTTTTAGTATGGCAAAGGCAGAATCATTTTCAAATGCAACTGGAACGTTTAGGAATTTACTACTCCCAGCACCTGGAGGGACAGTTTCCTATGGGAACACGAATTGAGCCAGAGGACTGAGCAGGGAAGCACACAAGGAGTCCTCATGTGACATGTTAACTTGGCATAGCCATGGTCTAGTCATTTTGGTCTCATTAGCCAGAATAATTCACAGTGCTGAAAAACTGACAGAAGGGAAAAATTTAAACTGCTGTGACAACTCCCAAAGGGATCTTGTGACATAATCTGAGACAACGTGTAAGGGCTGGATTGTTTCTGAATTAAGAGGGGACTGGATTAAGGAGGAGGAAGAACTTTCTTAAGGAGGGAGCTGAAATGAGACAAATGTAGAACAGAAGTGAAGCACAATTTCTGAACTGCCATAATAAAAAGAAGTAGAATCCTTATTTTCTCACACTTTGAGATTGAAGGTGACCTGTTCCTAGTGTTTTGACTAGAAGGAAAATTCGTGTGTCAGTGGAACTCGGGTTGTTGGGATCACTGGTGAGGTTGAATAGCCAGTCACAGGAGGTCAGGGCAGACCACGGGTGTCCTTGAACCAGGACAGTCTATAAACGTGGGGAAAGATGATGAAGTTTATTCCCAGTGATTAAGCAAATCACTCATGTGATGTAGAACACCTTCTTGAGAAAGAGCACCTTGAGTTGCCCCCCTGTATTCTAACAGTATACGAAATGTGTGGTGACAGAAGGATTGACAAAAGCACCTCACTGTCACCCAGCTCCTCTGCTCTAAAGCTGGTCTGTGTCACCACTGTGAGCACATTCAAAAAGCCTCCTCTGGTTTCTTCTGAGAGAACTGCACAGTGGTTTCAATATCCAGCCTCTGGAAATACCAATAACAGATTCATTTTTTGAAAAACGTTGTGAGTCTTGATCATGATTTAATCTTTAGGGGTTGCAATTCACGATAAAGCCATCATTTTTGTCCTAAATTAACTTTTAATAGAGTAACAAAAGCCCTGAAGGCCAAACCACTTCATCTTTAAAATGTTCACATATTAACATTTTTTCCACATCCATTAAATGAAGATGTTGTTCTACCATGTAAATATCTATATTTATTTTAATAATTTACTACCTTCATAAATATTCATAAAATTGCTTTTTAACTGTCATAAAGTTTAGGAATGTGGATGCTTGGATGTTTATGCAGAGGTTATTGGCAGGCCCTTACGGATAAGGATTTGCTAAATGGAAAATATTAAAGATTCCCAGAATAAAGGCAATTTGCAAAAAAGGCCTCAATTTAATAACCGTGTTAGTTTTAAATAAGTTTACTTTGGAAAAACTAATTTCACTTTTCTGGTGTCTACATTGTTTCTTTCTTTCTCTCTAGTATTTTTTTTATGGCT